GCTTCACTGCTACACCACAGTGCTAGCCCCTAATTTTTGTATTCATGATATAGATGGAGAAAGACCCTCTCTCTCTCTCTCTCTCGCTCTCGTTCTCTCTCACAAACACACACACATACACACATACACACATACACACACACACACACACACACAGAGGCTAAAGCCAGGAGCCCAGAACTCAATCTAGTTTTCCCAAATAATTAGTTGGCAGGGACTAAACCACTTGAACATAATCTGTTATCTCCCGTTGTGTTATCAGGAACCTGGAATCAGGAGCAGAGCCAGGAACTGAACTCAGGCTTTCCAGTGTGGGATGCAGGAGTCTTAACTGCTAGACCAAATGCCCACTCCCACAGTCCCTGAATTTAGTAACATTAAGGAAGTTGTCTGAAGGTCCTCAGTAAAGGGGATTTTTATATAATGTATATATGAGGAAGGTTTCTTGCCACAGACTTCCCTCTCCTTTCCACCAAAACACATAATGGCCCCATCTTTGTTTTGCAGAAACCTCAGGGCATTGGCCACTGTGTATTGAGATTATAAAGCAAGTAACAATTCCTAGAAATAGAATAGATATTAAAAAATATAAGTTGATCCTTGTGAACCTGTAAGATGGACAAGGAAAAGGCTTTAGCTAGAAATGTCCACAGGTGGAAGAATAATTATGGTACTGAGACAGAACCTAGAGGACCAGTAACTGCGACAGTAAGTAATATGCTCCTGTCAAAAGAGGACTGGGGCCAGCGCTGTGGTGTAGCAGGTTAACGCCCTGGCCTGAAGCGCCAGCATCCCATATGGGCACCGGTTTGAGACCCCGCTGCTCCACTTCTGATCTGGCTCTCAGCTATGGCCTGGGAAAGCAGTGGAAGATGGCCTGGGTCCTTGGGCCCCTGCACCCATGTGGGAGACCTGGAGGAGGCTCCTGGCTCCTGGCTTTGGATTGGCACAGCTCTGGCTGTTGCACCAACTGGGGAGTGAGCCAGCGGATGGAAGACCCCCCCCCCCCCCCCCCCCGCCGAGTAACTCTGACTTTCAAATAAATAAACAAATCTTTAAAATAAAGGGACTTTGCCCACAATACAACTATGACAAGTAGGTGTCCTTAACCCACTTTGAGTAGAGGCATTGGCAGCTGGTTCAGAAAGTCAAAGAATTTCACCAGCAATATCCAGATAACAGATTCACACAAATGAGCCAAGGTGGGAGAGCTCCAGAGACAATCGCCACTGCCAAGTTCCAGAGAGAGTCTTCTAACTACCTACTCATCTGCTAAGCAAGGCTTCAGCACCCAAGAGGTGTTCTATAGCCATGGAATCCTCCCCTCCCCTTCCACTGCGGAGATTCTCTACCTGCTCTCTACCGCTCTGAACTTTGTTTTAACCCCTCCTACCTCCTTCTTTATTCTCACCACGCCTCCTCTTGCTTTCTCTCCACACCTCTAGCCTTTCTTTCCTTTTTCCTTTTCTGCAGAAAACAGAATCCCAGTTTTGAAGAGGGATTTTTTTTTTTTTTTTTGACAGGCAGAGTGGACAGTGAGAGAGAGACAGAGGGCTTCCTTTTGCCGTTGGTTCACCCTCCAATGGCCGCCATGGCTGGCGCGCTGCGGCCGGCACATCGTGCTGATCTGAAGCCAGGAGCCAGGTGCTTCTCCTGGTCTCCCATGGGGTGCAGGGCCCAAGCACTTGGGCCATCCTCCACTGCACTCCTGGGCCACAGCAGAGAGCTGGCCTGGAAGAGGGGCAACCGGGACAGAATCTGGCGCCCCAACAGGGACTAGAATCCGGTGTGCTGGCGCTGCAAGGTGGAGGATTAGCCTAGTGAGCCGCGGCGCTGGCCGAAGAGGGATTTCTATATGATCTTGTAATATGGATCAGTGACATCATATGGATGGAGCATCCCAACGGTCTTTTAATACATGGTTTGTACTGACTGTGTCAGCTACAGTGCTGGGCATCTGCTCTGGAGAGGGTTCCCTAAGTGAAGGGAGAGAGACTCTGCCCTTGAATGTGAGAGGCCTGTAGGTGAGTGGGATGTGGAGTCCTGAGGTGGGTGATCCTGCACCTTGCACTAATTTTGACTATGTAATCAGGGACTCATAAATGCTATTTCAAAAAAGAACTTTTATTTGTTTACTTTTACTTATTTGAAAGACCAAAGTTGTGGGGGAGAGACTTTCTATGTGCTGGTTCATTCCCCAAATGGCTGTAACAGCTGGGGTTGGCCAGGCCAAAATCAGGAGCCTAGAGTGCAACCTGGGTCTCCTGCAAGAGTGGTAGGAACCCAAGTACGTGGGACTTGACTGCTGTCTCCCGGCATGTGCATTAGCAGGAAGTTGGAATCAGGAGCCAGAACTGGGCCTTGAGCCAGGCACTCTAATGTAGGATGTGGGCATCGAAGTGGGGTCTTAACTGCTGTGCTCAATGCCTACCCGAGAGGCTCATAAATGACCCTCAGTGTCCAAACTCTTGGCACTTGGCCTTGAGGGTGATATGTGGGCCAATAAATAATGTCCTGGCAACTAAGTATCTACCATCTTTGATTTATTTATTTGTTTTTATTTTAAAGGCAGAGTTATATAGAGAGAGGGAGAGACAGAGAGAGAGGTCTTTCATCCACTGGTTCACTCTTCAAATGGCTGCAATAGCCGGAGTTGGTCTGGTCTAAAGCCAACCACGTGGGTGCAGGGGCCCAGGCACTTATGCCATCTTTTGCTGCTTTCCCAGGCACATTAGCAGGGAGCTAGATTGAAAGTGGAGCAGCCAGTACCTGAAAATGGGCCCCCATATGGGATGTCAGTACTGCAGGCAGCAGCTTAATCCACTATGCCACAACTCCAGCCCCAGTAACTACCATCTTATGTCTATAAACATTTACGCAATATTTGGATACATTTGACAGTAATAAAACTTCTGGACTTTGGTGTTTTGTAATGATTAAGATCCCTCTACTATATCCTTGAATCTGTAGGCAAAACAGATTCAGAAAACACAAAGCTTATTATGCAGCAAAGAACCAATGATAACTGCCGCTGTCAACCCCTTTCTTCAACTTGTGACCTGCGTCCCCTCCTCATCCCCACATCTCTGCCTCTAGGGCAAGATAGAGAAGGAGTGAACATGATGAGATGCCAGAGATGGGAAAGGGGTGAACCTAGTTACTGAACTGTGAGTAGCAGAGAGAATTTGCCTCATATGGAATTGATAGAACCAGATTGAAAACATAAGCTGTTGTAAGTCATGCTCAGAGTATGGAAATTGCTGAGTTGTATCGAATATCCTTTTGAAATGATACTTGTTTCTGCAAGACAACTGTCTTCAGTGGCTATTATTTTTGCCCACAATGACGAAATGAGTGTCAGTATCATGTGGGGAGCAGTGTCTTGAGTTCTCGTCCAAGTAGGAGTTAATTAGTTGACTACGAGCAGGCTTCATGGAAACCCTCTGCTGTTAGGAAGGGCCCGCTTCCCCTAGTCAGTCACCCCTTACACAGAGAAAAGGTACATGTGTTCCTGAAAAAAATGTGCACATCATATGTTCTCTCCCTTCAATCAGACTGGAATGTGCCGACCTGGCCTCCGTCTGTGGAGTCTTATGAAGTATCTCCAGGGGTTTCTAAGGGCAGACAAGAAAATGCTCTGAAGGCAGATGAAAGGGAAGGCTGTGCAGGGAGCCCCAGCACAAGCCAGAAAAAATTTTCTGTATCTAAAGGCAATCTGCTCCGTTGCTTCTGGACTAGGCTGTGAGTGGGAGGGGAAGCACATGCCGCCTTCCAGACAGGACGAGCCATTGTGTCAACCACTCGTCTTGGAGGCCACCTCTGTTCCTCCCAGCCAGGAGTAAAGAAGCAGAAGACAGAGTCTTTTTTTTTTTTTTTTTTTTTTTTTGACAGGCAGAGTGGACAGTGAGAGAGAGACAGAGAGAAAGGTCTTCCTTTTGCCGGTGGTTCACCCTCCAATGGCCGCCGTGGCCAGCGCACCGTGCTGATCCGATGGCAGGAGCCAGGTGCTTCTCCTGGTCTCCCATGGGGTGCAGGGCCCAAGCACTTGGGCCATCCTCCACTGCCTTCCCGGGCCACAGCAGAGAGCTGGCCTGGAAGAGGAGCAACCGGGACAGAATCCGGCACCCCGACCAGGACTAGAACCCGGTGTGCCAGCACTGCAAGGCGGAGGATTAGCCTAGTGAGCCGCGGCGCCGGCCGACATAGTCTTCTGAACTAGGGTTCTTTGCTGTTACCTTTCTCTTCCATAAGATCTTCATTTTGGGGAGATTTTGTTTTCCATCACAAGAAACTCAACTATTATGAACTGCACTTGGCACTAGATTTATATCAAATATGAAACATTAATTTATTTTTCATTTGAGAGGCAGAGAGAGAGAGAGATGGAGATAGAACTTGCATCCAGGGGAGAGAGAGCCGGAAAGGGGAGGGTTGCGGGTGGGAAGGAAGTTATGGGGGGGGAGCCATTGTAATCCAAAAGTTGTACTTTGGAAATTTATATTCATTAAATAAAAGTTAAAAAAAAAAAGAACTTGCATCCACTGGTTCATTCTGTACGTGACCACAAAGCTGAGGGCCAGGAAGTCGATCCAAGTCTCCCATGTGGGTAGTAGGAACTCAGTTACTTGAGACACCACCATAGCCTCCTAGGGTCTGCATTAGCAAGAAATTGGAAGCTGGGGCCAGGAATCCAACCCAGGTAGTGTGATATGGGACATGGGCATATTAACCAGCATCTTAACTGCTCGACTGAATATCTACCCCTTAAATATGAAATTTTAAATATGGAAAATAGGCTAGAAAGATAATGAAAAGATTGACTTAAACATTATGAAGGAGAAAAAAAAACCACTTTCCTGAGTTTAATTCAGTTGACCCAAATCGAATCTTTTCAGTGTTAGCTCATGAGTCTACCCCGGGGACTAAAACTATCCCTGTCAGTCACGTTGAGGTGGGCAGTGAACATATTAATTTCTGATCCAGGTTCTTCTCTCCCACAGATGCAAATACACTAAGGGAAGATTGGTATGGTGTGCAAACAGCAACAGCGTTTAATTGGCAGTGAGGGAATAAACGTACAATCACCTGCGAGTGTGAGGTGCTCCACACAGAGAAATATCCAGTGACTGGGCCAAAGAATGGCCCATAACCCAGAGGAAAAAAAGAAAAAACTGCAAATGGTTCCTGTAACTGTGGGAGAGTGGGAAAGGTCCATTCTGTCTGCGGTGGAAGAGAGCACACCAGAGCGGTATGTCCGCGAGCTCTCCGGCGGAGAGCGAAAACCCGAGCAGCGCCTCTTGGAAGACAAGGGTACGTGTAAGCAAGGCCCACGGCAGAAAGACAGCTCTCGTCTGCCTTTCCCCTCTTTTTATAAGGAAGGTGGTACCTCAATTGCATATGCAGAATGGGGTCTTAGCATGCGCCTCTGTCCCGAAGCAGAAGCAGCAGGTGCATCCTGGGATGGTGGGCGTGTCCAATCGATAGTTGAAGAGATACTGCAGGGGCCTAGGCTAGCTTCCTGCCTGCTTGTGCCACGTTAACACTGCCCAGGGCAGGACAAAGGCTGTACAGCGTGCCACTGGCGGCAGGTTAGGCAGGGGCTGAGGTTTGGAAGCGTGTGGCTTGCCGGGATGCCGTTCCTGCCCCGGTGAAGAGGGGAAAAGACTTGCAAGCAGAGGGCTGGCCGAGTGGGAAGAGGACCAGGTGTGTGTGTATGATCTGTGCTGGGCACAGTGGTGAGTTTGGGAGGCTGGAAGTTGACGGTGGAAGTGGCCTCGGTGAGTGGGGAGGTGTTGGGGTTTGGAAGCGGTGGCGAGGAAGCGGAGGGCCTGGAGGCAGGCCTACACCTGGAGAGGCTGGAGCTGGGGTACAGGAGGCAAACCCACCCAGTGACAGCTTGTACACTGACGAGAAGATGGGCACACACATTTATTCTCGTCTCCTGCTGATGCTGTCTCACTTACTCTGTGGTGTAAAATCCCTTTGCCTTGGGGTAAAAACTCCCACAGCCCCGTGACTGTCCGGCTTGAGGTTGCATACACACTGTTCCAATGCGGCATTAAAATCTCCCACTCAGCGTATCACCCAGCACTTCCATCTTCATCCTAAGTGGAGCCTCCGCCTCTCCTACCCGAAGCCACAGCCTCTCTGAGCTCCTGTCTGCACATGCGGGGGCACCCGGCCAGGTCCTTCTGTTGCTCTCCACCTGCCTCTCCTTCCAGGTTCCGTCTGGCCCTATTCGAGGGTGAGGGTTTTCCGTGACTGGATGGTTTCGCTCCAGGCCTGACACCTGTGGCACTTTTGAGAGCCGTGTTTCCCCACATTGCCTGGGTCAGGTACTGGCCCGGGAAGGGTGTCCCACCTCTGGTCTGCTGATGGTCCTCAGCTGCGGGTCCCCACGGCCTCCACGCCTCACAGACTTTCTTGTTGGTGCCCTCCCAGGTGGGCCCGTTGGTTGGGTATTAAAAGGGCCCCAGGTGTTCCTGTTTCTGGCCTTGGGTGCTGGGGTTGCCGGGAGAGCTGTGTCCATGTTGACCCTGCCAGGCTGAGCCGGCCACCTCTGATGCCTCAGGCTCTTTTGTGTGGCCGGTGACACGAGTCTGGCCTGAGCCCCAGTGGCTCGCAGGCCATTTTCTCAGTCTCGACAGTCCCTTGGGAGACCCCTTGGGGCTTCCGACAGAAGGGTAAGTACCTCCTAGGATGAACAGGCTGCTGAGTCTCATCCCAGACTTTCCGTCTCCTTTCACAAACCTTTTTAGTTCTCGATATAAGGGCTTGTAAATGGTGGTGGGGAGAGGCAGAGCAGCCAACCTTGTGGAAACCAGTTCTGGGACTTACTTGTGAGGTTTGGATATGGGTACTTGGCTTCTTTAAATTTTTCTTTAAAATTTTAAAAAAAGTTATTTTGGGGGCCAGTGCCGCGGCTCACTAGGCTAATCCTCCACCTAGCGGCGCCGGCACACTGGGTTCTAGTCCCAGTTGGGGCACCGGATTCTGTCCTGGTTGCCCCTCTTCCAGGCCAGCTCTCTGCTGTGGCCCAGGAGTGCAGTGGAGGATGGCCCAAGTGCTTGGGCCCTGCACCCCATGGGAGACCAGGAGAAGCACCTGGCTCCTGCCTTTGGATCAGCGTTGTGCGCCGGCCGCAGCGCGCCAGCCGCGACGGCCATTGGAGGGTGAACCAACGGCAAAAGGAAGACCTTTCTCTCTCTCTCTCTCTCTCTCTCTCTCTCTCACTATCCACTCTGCCTGTCAAATATATATATTTATATATATATGTGTGTGTATATATAGATAGAGTAGTTAAATAGCTTGCCCAAAATCTCAGGGTCGTAAGTTGTGGCTGGGACTTCAGCTTCATAGACTGCATTGTAGCCTGCCTTGACTGCTGCTAATTGTGCTAAGTGTTTTACTTAGTTCCTCTTGCTCAGTCCTTCTCATAACTCCACCAGGTATATGTTATTATAATCTGTAAATTTGCGAAGATTTGGAACAGTATTAAACTTGCTGAAAGTCCCATGACCAGTGAGAGGCAATGCTGGGACACTGATCCGGTTGGGACTGATTGCCCGGATTTGCTCTTGGCTGCTCACTTCTGGTTGCATCATAGGATGCAGGTATGTAATGGCTCCTGTTTTGGTGCAGAGTTGCAGGTTCCTTAGTCAGCCCACCTGGGTCCGAGTCAAGATGACCCTCCTTGCCTTCCCACCTGGTAAGTATGTAATTGGGAATACTCTGTAAAATGCTCTGCTATGGAGAACTCTTGGTCATTGAACCTTATTTGTAACTTGGGGTAACGATTGCACCTACATCATAGGTCATTACGGAGGTAAAATGAGTCTTTTTGGGCAAAATACTCAGGAATGTGCCTAGTGCATTGCATTGCTTTACTAAAAACTGTTATTGCTAGATTAATTCAAGATTGAACCTTCAGAAAACTTGAAGTGTGTGTTTCTTCCTAGCGTTTTTATAACCGGGAAGGGTAAGTTCAGGTTGTAGGCATAATGCTTAGGTCTTCTGTGTTCCCAGGGACTCAGAATTTGTGTTTGGGAGTCAGGTGGCTTTCCAACAAGGTGGTAATAATGATTAGACACATTTATTCACTTTAAAATTCCAATCCTATTCCTTGAGTCTATCTTTAAGCAATTACATAGGTACCTGCACTTCAGGTGTTCTTGGAGAGGGCAAATTTAGACAGTCTGTAATCTTTCCCTAACCAAAATCAGCTGGGGGAGGAGCTGATGGGCATGGTAGTCTTGCCTTAACTCTTTCTTTTTTTTTTAGACATCTCATTTGTTTGAGAGGTAGAGTTAGACTGAGAGGGGGAGAGACAGAGAGAAAGGTCTTCTATCCACTGGTTCACTCCCAGATGGCCGCAACGGCCGGAGCTGAGTTGATCTAAAACTTCCTCCGCGTATCCTATGAGGGAGCAGGAGCCCAAGCACTTGGGCCACAAGCAGAGAGCTGGATTGGAGGAGGAGCAGCCACAACTTGATATGGAATGCTGGCACAGCAAGTGGAGGCTTAGGCTTCTATGCCACAGTGCCAGACCCCTTGCCCTAACATACCTGATGAAATCTATGCATTCATTTATTCAGAAAGAGACTGAGTGCCTTCAAAGTGCTTCACATGCTTAGAGAGACTGGGACACTGTAGAGAAAAACTGTTTTCACGGGGTTTACCTTCTAGTGGGGAAGAGAGGAAGATGAGTGAAATCCGTAGCAAGTCAGGACATAAGTCAATCAAAAATCCATGGAAAGAGAGGAAGTGCTGGAATTGGGGTTCTCTAGTTTTGAATAGAGGGGTCAGATTTAGGAACAGTGATGTAATTAGGATTTTAACACCAGCTCTGGCTGCTTGGAGGTACAGATGCATTAGAATAAAGTATCCTGGGTTATTTTGATTAAAAAGATGTCTGAGATGAGCTTGAAAATAATCCAGAATGGGCAGAAGGACATGAGGAGGAGGAAGGGCATGGCTGGAACAGGGGTTTTGGGGTGTGGTGAAGTAGTCACAGGTGTGTGGGGGTCATGACTGTATTCTGTTTTTTTGTATTTTGAGACCTCCACAATAAAAAGGTTAAAAAGAGCAAGAATAATACTGCAGACACATTTAAAAAAATTTTTTATATTTTGTAGCCACATATTTAAATGGACAACAGGATTTCCTTGAAAGCTGACAGACAAAACTCTTAAACACTGTACAGTTTGAATTAACAGAGTCATCTCAGGGTCAGTAAGAGCTTCACTGAGAATGCCCTAGCAGAAGATCGCCCGGGGTTGGGACACTGACCCCTGTGTGTGTGGGGGGGTGTCTCTCCAGAAGGGGATGGTGAGGGCTCCAAACTGAATCACACGCTGAGGCCAGAGGGGGCGCGTGACCTCTGTGTGTGGGCCAATGGTTTGATGACCTCCTCCCTGTTGATGTCACACTCTGCTGTCTCAGGCTGTGCGGTCCACAAGGCAGGGCGCAGTCCTGCTCATCGGTGCGTCCCCAGCGCCTCCGATTCTGGAGTGTGGAATGTTTCGCCGCCTTCTTTCGCCTCCCACCACAGATATACAGGAAGGAATCTTGATTCCCATTCAGTACAACTGGGATCACTGTAGGGAGTCACCGTGCAGAGGCCCAGCTCAGTGGTGAAGCTGCTTGATTTCAGATCCTGGGGCTCTTTTCCTTCTACCATGTAATCCGTGAAGAGGCCCAAACCTTTCATATAGAGTGATTGGCAGATGATTAAATTTTTGGTGGTGAAGTTTATTGGAGAGGTAAATAAAACCACGAATACCACATGCTTTGACTGTTAGGGTCAAATTAAATTTCTTCTTACTGTGTGTAGCCAGAGAAAATAAGAAATCCTGTTAGAGTATTAATCCACACATGAAACTGTTGCTCTCACAGTCAGTATAATTTAATATTTAAAAAGTAAAACGAGCCACAAAGACATTTTATACACTAGGTAGTCATGCACCCCGGAAACCATGTGCACATGTCTATGTGCGCACACATTGAATTTCAGGTTCAGTGCCTTTAAACCTTCTTGCCATATGTTGAATTTTTATAACCAGCAAATAGATGGGACTTTGGGGCTTAATGAAAGGGTTTGTATGGATAACATATGTTTGTCTTTCTAGAAAGTAATTTGTCAGCCTGTTGAATGCCAGAGTTTTCAAGTGACTGTGGAATGATTGCATTTGACCCTTAAATCATACAGTATTCTTCCCAATGGAGGTCTGTCTTTTAATTCTGGAGGCCTGTTGGGAATAAGAAAAGAATACTATTTTTAGTTGATTCTGTATAGATAGGTGTTACGCAAA